TAAATTGTTTTATTTTTTTCTTTCATTCATTACATAAGTGAATTATGATTGTATCTGTATACGTCGGTGTTCTCGTTTATAATTATATATATATTTTTTAAATTGATTTCGTCTTTTTTTAAATTTTATTGTGGTATTCTGTTGAAACGAGACTTAAGCATGTATCTTTATATGACTTTCATGATTGCGCTTGAATAATAAACATCACAAACTTAATTCCAACTCTTCGCCTCTTTCTAGGTCAAGGACAAACCGTTACCAAGACAGTCTAATTGACAAGAACATTTATATATGCCTCATTGCCGGAGTGGTTATGTGCTAAAAACATACTAAATCGTATGAGACAAAGTGGCGGAGATCCATTCGATCTAAGCTCTCACAGCCAAGCAAACACTCTACCTTTCCCCTCATCTCTACAAGATTCCCTTACATCAAAAACAACACCTCTCACTTACAGACGTGAAGTACAAGTGTGAAAATGCCAATATTAAGAAACCAATCATCAATCCTGGCAAAGCGTCTAAATTATAAACCCAATGTGCCACTTAATTATCAGCAAGACATTTCCGAGGCATCAACCTCCAAATCGCAGACTAAACAAACTGCAACAGCTACAGCAACTAATAATACCATCACTGAGTCTGCAGGAGCCTCTAATATGATGCCACCCCAAGTTCCTCCCCCTCCACCACTCACTCAAATCGACACAGACAATGCAGACGAAGTACAACAACAAAAACAAAGTGTGCTGGGTTCTGAACACTCTAATGGGAATATCTTCCCTCCATCACCAGCCCTGTCTACAATATATGCTACATCTGCAAATGCTATACCAGCACTACAACCCACTATGGTACAAGATGCACCTACAGCACTACAGCAACCAATGACGATTCAACACACCCTCCCTTCAGAATCGCAAACTTTAACAGTGCAGCAGCAACCCCTTCAACAACCACCACAACCTGTGACAGTTCAGCAAACCCCACAAGTACCACCACCTTTGGGAGTACAGCAAACCCTTCAGCAAGCTCCGCAGCCAGTGACAACTCAACAGACAATTCCACCTGCACCAGCAACATATCAGCATCCAGTCGTGCAGACAATTCAGGTTCCTGTGCCAGCTCCTACCCCATCCCCTCGTGCCAGTATTACTTTGGAAAAGTATGATGGCAAAAAATCTGCCATCCAGTTTTGGACTCAGTTTATGACCTTCGTTTCTCTCATGAATGTTCCATTCCAGAATATTGGTAGCTGTTTATTCTTCTACTTGAAAGAAGCTGCACGGGACTGGTATATCACCTTAACTCCAGATGTTACGTCCTCATTGGAGAACCTCAAAACTGCATTCCTCAATCGCTTTAGGCCACAGATTCCATTTAGCCTCGGCCTAGTGGACATAATTCAGAAAGATGGTGAAACTGTGGAACAATACGTAACCCGAATAAGGAAACTTGCTGTAGATTCAACCATGCCGGAGGACTGTTTAACAACCATGATAATGAAAGGTTTGACACCAGCCGTGAGAAATATTGTGATGCCCCAGTTTCCACAAACAATTGATGATCTACGTAGAAAATCAATCATTGCTGAAATGACTGTGCAAATGAATAAGCAGACTATTTCAACTAGTGCTTCTGAAAACAGTGTTGTGAATGCATTGACAGCTGTGTGTGATGTCACCAATCAATTTCAGCAAACTATTGCGGCTATGAATACATATCCGTCACAAGCCTCAGTCAAGCAACTTAACCCTGAATATTCTCGACGTCCAACCCAACGGGCACCTGTCCAACAGTTTTAACCTGTGCCACAACAGATGTACAACTCAGCACCACAACAGCCGTACCAGCCTGTTCCACAACAGCAGCCATACCAGTCTTTCCCTCAACAGCCATACCACCCTGGGCCACAGCATTCATACCATCCCACAAAACAGCAGTACAATCGTGGTCCGAAACAATATAACCGCAAACCACAACAGCATGCCAACTACCCCCCAGCAGGCGGCAACCAGTCAACCCGACCTAATGGATACTGCAACGGTTTTGGAAGCAAGTCATGTTTTCTTAAAGCAACTTGTCCTGCCAGGGGATACACTTGTCAAAAATCTCATAAACCTAATCACTTTAAGTTTGTTTTGGTGATTTCCTTGAACGCCTAAATTTATCACATTAGGGACTCGGGCCTGTATGTAGAATCAAATCTAGGGATGGATTTTCTCAACAAACACAAGGCTCACATTGTGCATGAACGATAGACAATGGTCAAATTTGTGTTGGTGTTTTTGTTGCGCAACTATTCACTCCTTACCCCTTATATTCAAATTGTATCTTAAAAACATTATTCTATGGGTTTTGGTTCTAGTCACCATTAAGTAGATTCTGCTGTTCCCTAGTGCTAGATTGTTTAGCTGATCACTAAACTTTCATCGACTGTTCCATTTCTCATGGCTAATTTAGGTTTTCTTTGGTTCTGTAAAAATTTTTCACATACTTGTCTTTGACCATTTCTTTCTATGTCCCAAGCATTGATACATTGTAATAGTTTTTTATGCCTCAACATCATTTTAGGTGAAAACTATGGAGAGAATTCTGTTTCTTTGTTAGAGACAGATTTTCTTTTCAGCATATCATTTATTTCCCCTATATGTTGTAACTGTTTTTCTTGGATCAACTCTTGTTGGTATACTTAGTTAAACTTGTGAAACTGTGTATTTTGGTCATTCTTGCATATTCAGTCACCTACAGTGTTTATCCCGTGTTCATTTGTATTCCATAAAAGCCATAATGATATAAAAACCGCCTTACGATTTGCAGACCTTTATTTCTCGTTGGGTCGCACAGTATCCAGGACAGCGTCCCGATTCCAACTCCCCGAATGTTAACAGAATGTTGCTTTATAGACAAGATTGATAATTGACAAACTTGAGTAATATATAACATGAGTTATTTGATTTACAAGTAGAGTTAAGGATTATATTTTTAAATAAACAACAATTAAGTCACTCAAAGCACAGTCCATCTGGTCATATCAATCATGGCTAATTAACACAATTAAATATTTTATAATAGATAGATCTGGCAGATTGAAGCGATTATGACAACTCATTAATTAATAACAAATAGGTGAAATTTTGACCGTAGAAAGTATTCGAAGTAATTGTCAAAATGTCCAAAGGTACATTTTCATCTGTGACAATTGCACAGTGCGGAATCGATGTATTTACTACTAAGCATATGATAAAAATGAATTATGCAGATGATCTCATGACTGACTAAATGCAAAGTGAAGCATTTCTGTCATGTGAAGGCAATTTAGAAGGAGAGTTATTGTTTACCTACATATATGTATTAAATATTTTAATTAATAATGGTCTGTGAACTTGAGTGATTAATATTGCCTATGCACAAATTAAGTTATACAGTTTATTATAATAGGAATTTAATCTCAGCTCCTCCATCTCCATTCAGAAGATTTGTGTGAAATACAGTGTCTCTCACAGTGGCAAAGTTCAACAAATGCAAATAACTTGTGTCCCTAACTATACTTTGCAATATCCTTGAATACGAGGGTCATTCAATATGTACACACACACATACATATATACTGAAAGGAAAATGAAACGCAGGGTAACTTAATATTCGACAACTATTTCAATATTCGACCAGAAATTATGAAAATTTGTATGGGGGGAATTCTGGTTACTTATGGTCAACCATAAATGGCATACGTCACATAAGGAAAGTGATAAAAACCAAAAACACGCGCAGATTGACGATAACAGACGTGTCAAATAAATTTAAATAAAAGTTGGTACTCTGGATATATATATATATATATTATAGTTTTTCGCTATTCAATGTCAATTTGAATTTCTTGCAAAAATGATACGGCCGACGGAAATTCAGAGTTGTCTTGCAATTGCTTTGCCTTAGAACGAACAAAGGCAACAATAGGTTGTTGTAATGTTTGTTGTGGATTTTCTACCAGAAGACGTCTTATCGATCCCCAGAGAAAGAGTGAAAGGGATTTCGTTCAACCATGACGGGAACGTCTGCGCGTAACGAGACCTTGTCAAGACGGGGCTATCCATCTTACTACCTGCGTAATCGCAACGTCACTAGTACTACCACTAGACCTCTTTCAATACAGTAAGCAATCACAATCTTCACTTCCACCCAAAAACTGGAAGAAACCGATTGCGCAAGTTTGGTCTGCGACTTTGTCGACTTTATGGAGGTGTTAGTCTCAACCTCTCTTTAGGAGTGAAAAATTCTCGAACGGGACGTAAAACAACAAACAATCAATAAAACGCGCACGTGAGCGTTGTATGCCTATTTTTTTTCAGCATGTTTACCCCAACCCAGTGTAGCCAGAGTATATCAAGGCTTTCTAGTAAAAAAAAATTAACCTACTTGACTCTGACAATCCATCTTAAAGTTTGTATCCAATTTAACATTTGTGGGACTAACTGGACTGTAGAGTAAGAAGGCGTAGGAATATCCCCACCCCTCTTGACCAGCTAAGGGCAAAGTTGTTGGAAAGATTGGATAATATCACTATGAGAAAGATATATGCACCGAAGACCTCCTTGCACAGGAGTATTAAGGCTGTGTGCGATGCGTAAGAGAGGCATAGGAAATAACTACTTTTTCGATTTCACTTTTGTGAGGGTATCGTCAAATGAGTACCACTTTCTCTCGAATAAATCAATTGTAATTTTCTTAACTTATTGATTAAATCGTTTCTAAATCTAAATATAACAATATTGGAAAATATATTTAAAAAGTTATGATTTAATCATATCAAAAGTGTACTCTGATGTGATTACTCCTACTCTTCATACTAAAATTATATATAATAAAATTATGTATAATATTTCATTTGGTTTATTTCAATTTTAAAAGTCAAAAAGAAAGATATTTCAAAGAAATGAAAAAAATTAAGAAACCAATGAAACATGCCTGAAGAATAAGCTACATTAAAAACATTGAGACGAGATGTCAAGGAAGTTCATTCTGCATTGTCAACATAATCAAAAATACATGCTAGTCTACTGTCGCTTAATTTACAACGTTTGTTCAATAAATTAAGTTATTTTACAGTATATAAATAAAAGTCTCAACATCTGCATATCGTTGGTTTTGCGTTAATTCTTATCATCTCCTGAAACACAGAAGAATAAGATTTAAACTCAGTATTACCTTGCTTAATAAGAGAGAGTGAAACTAATACGCAGGGAATCAAATTAAACAAGAACAGAAAAATGAGAAGAAGATCAGAACAAAACATACATTTACGGATGTCTACAACATATAGCGTATTCTCCTGCTGGGTGGGTATTGCACGTGAGGTTAATGGGGCAGCGTTTTTCTCCAGGTCCACATGTGACATTGCGTATGGAATATCCAGAGAGGCACCTCGAGTCAGGGATACTCTAAAACAGGTAACCGGATATAGAATTAGACTAGATTGATAGAGACATTGATATAGAAATTTTACGGACATATTAAAGTTTTTAAAACTTTATCGTTATCAATTCTCTAAAATTTATATTCATTGGATTCCGATAAACCTTGAATCAAATACTTTAACTCATGCCTCCAAACCACAATTTATCAATTAATAGATTTCAGTATTTATTTGAAAAAAAAGAAGAAGATTTTCTCGATGCAATTGACATGGGCTGTCAATTTTTATCTTCGTGTGTGGCATTAAAATGTAAGAACCGATATGCATTTTTTTTTTATGAATTAATTAGTTTTACTGTGAATATATAGATTTGTACCGAATTAACTTTGCATTAAATCAATGTAAAAATTTGTCTTTAAGATTTTTTAAGTATTATATGCAGTAATTTCTTTCATTTTCAAAAAGTTGTCGCAGTGTGATAATTTTTTAGGAGTTTATGAATGAACAAATTTATTCTGAAAAAAAAAAAAACACAACTTAACTTTGAATAGAAAACATTCTTAAATGCAATAGGATATTCTGAATTATGGTTCGCAGAAACAAAGCATATAAATGTAATAATATGTATAAAATCATTTACCACCATCTTCCACAAATTCTCTTTAGTCCTTTCAATAAAGCTCTGGAAATTTAATAATCATATTTTACATTAAAAAATAACACCTTTTTTACTCTAATACAAAATAACTAGAAATCAGATTTGAAAAAACATTGAGAGTGAAATTAATGCTGAAAGTGAAAAATAATACCCATAAGGAATACTTTAAAACAAACAAAAAAAGTACTTTGAGCAAAGAACTTATAAAATAAATCACCGTAATTAAAGAAGATATTTACTCTAGAAACCCCGATGATCAGGCCTTGAGACCATAAACTGAGAACAGACTTGAGTCAAAATTTAGATTTTAAATATCTTGAGTTATATTATGTAACATAATAATGAACTAAAAAATTTGCAGGGTTGTATAATATTCTAATTCAAACATATGATGAAAATTTTGTATCGTTATGAAAATTATTCCATGTTATATTGATTCAAAATTTTGACTAAATTCTGTTCTCAGTTTATGGTCTTGGAGCCAGATCAGAAAATCAAAGAATTGTGGTTCCCTGCTTTCGATGTCTTTGTGGATGGGATGCCATTATTTATGGCATATTGTGTCATATATGAACGCCCCATCATATGTTATTTAAAAATAATCACCAAATTTAATTTTTTTTTTTTTAAAGTCAAACATGAAGGTCAAGGGATAAAATAACATAGCATGCTAGGAAACATCTTGTCACAGGTAATGCACATGTCAAATATGACACCCCCTATCTCTTCTCAATAAAAAGTTACAAGGAAAGATGACATTTTTTAACATAAAGTCAAACTTCAAGGTCACGGGCTCAAACATCATAGTATGTTTAGAAAGGTCACAGATAATATACATATGCAATATGAAAGCCCTACGTTTTTCTCTTTCAAAAGCTATGACCGATTTAAAGTAATGTTAAATTTTTTGAAAAGTAGGTCAAACTTTAAGGTCAAGGTCACAGAGTCATAAACTGAAAGTATTTTTGGAAAGATCTTGTCGCAGGAAATAATATCTTTGTTCATGTTCTGCTACGAAAAACTTCAAAAATCGAAAAATAGAGGTGCAAAATAGACATGTAGGGTGTAACCCTCATTTTTCTTACCATGTCATCTGTATCTTACCTGTAAATATTTTCAACCTTCAAACTTGGTCAGACAATTTTGACCCGTTCCTGCATAGTAGGGGGCAATATAAAAACATAATGAACATATAAATACATCGATTTTTTTGGTACGACATTGCCACATAAAGTTGGTATTAAATTTTATGGAGGGAAAACAGTGCCTTATGCCGATTGACCCCGCAAAGGGAAATAACTTTTTTAAAATGTTAAAGTGGTGTATGCCACCATGCATTAAATGTGAAGTCTAATTGTTTTATTTATTGGCAAAGAGGAGTTACATATAAGAGGTGGGGACATGTACTCTCAAGTGTTCCGGACGGATACCATCATCACATGCCCCCCCCCCCCCTCCATTCTCAAGCAGGAACTGAACAAAGTAACCCTGAATAAAAAATGTTTGGTAGCTCTGTAGTTAATAGGTTCATGAAATTTGCCACTGTATGAGAAAAGTTCAGAAAAATAATATATGCAATTAAAAGATATGAATATCCATATAGTAAATTTTTTTTTGCCAAAAAAGAATTAACAGAAACGAAAGACATCCTTACCACTAAGGTCCATGAAAATACAGCAGGGATCATCAAAAGGAACACGATTCGACGATCCATATTTTAAATCCACTCAGAGAAATTGCAAAATCGCAACAAATCTTAAATATATATCTTAATTTCTTTAATCATTCACCAAGTCACCTGGTGAATGAGACGTGCATGTCTCCAATTGTGAAAGATCCTGATAACTTGATTTGTGGTTTTCCACATCCGAATACTAATGAATGAATGATTTCCCTCGGCTAATTTTACAGAAATGTTTTTTATTATGTTGAATTAGTGAAGTTAGAAAACAAGAAATTTAATATTCATTACATGAAATACTAAGTAAGTTCCTCTAATTCTAATATGCTGAAGGCAGAAAGAGGGGAAATCAGAGGCAGGAGGAATAACATTCTTGAAAGATATATCCAGGAAAAGCATGGATCCATTCCTGATGTTTTCATAGTTTAAGGTCTAAAGACACGTTCCTCAAATATCTGTTTTGTTTCTCTTCGTATTTTATATCAAAAAAATATTCATAACAAACATAATCATATGATTTCTTAAATGTTTTCAATTTTTCTTAGAAAATAAATGCAATAAAAATTGTCATTTTGAGAATTCTAGTGATTTAAAAATGGATTATATAGGAAACACTACCCTCTGGTATTTTGCACAAGTACCTGGTAAGATACCTCAATTTTTGTGAGGAAACTTGTTTAAGTAGTAATACTTCAATGACAAATTCTTACGGAAAATTATATATTATTGAGGAACGTGTCATCTGACCTTAATCTACTTATAACCTTACTTAATATCTGAAAACCTCGCTCATACATGGCTCATTTCCAGCGTAACATTTCTGGAAAAAAAGGGATATCCTCAGTGTTTTCAACGAACCAAAATTTTAACACCGAAGTCAGATCCCATGTTTCATTTTGTCATTTACTTCGAACTAGCCACCGTCACGATAGCCCAGTCGGTAGACCGCTCGCATCGTGATCGGAAGGCCCTGAGTTCGAATCTCAGCCGCAAGTGACCTAAGTCGATATAAACTAGGAAGCAACTGTTCCTTCGACGAGCGCTCGGCACTTTGAAGTGAAAGTTGCGGATCCTTCGGATGAAACCTCAAAAACCGAGCCCCGTGTCACGGCAGGCGTTGGCACGATAAAAATCCCTCACTGCTCAATGACCCAGAGTGCCGAGTGAAGGTCTAACTTTGAAGCCCTTCGCCTGTATATGGTGACGTCTCCATATGAGTGAAAAATTCTCAAATGGGATGTAAAACAACATAAAATAAATCATGCAATCATTTAATCGAACGCAGCCGAAGTCATATTACGTAAATTCACAGTAGGTCCTCCCAAAGAACCAGATGCAAAAGCGAAGTGCAAAGGGATTCATATTTTCTTAAAGTGGGTTGAAATCTTCTTTCGGAAGTATTGATGAATTCTTAAAGCTTTGCTAGTCCTGTAGATTTTTTTTTAATCAAATTTTATATCAAGTATACTGTTAGAGCTCTTAAATTCTCTCCATCGAACAATATCAATACCCCCTTCCTAAAGATACGGTAACACTATGCGATTTTTCATTAGATTTTTATTTGACGTGCATTGCTCAGGTTAGTCAAAAGATGTTGATTGGTGGGGTGGTCACCTGATACGATTCTACATTCGTTCGGAAACAATTTTGAAGAGAAATGAACAGGGAACTTGTTTGTTTTTTTTTTTCAGTATGAAGTAGTTTACACAGTATTTTCCCCTTCAATTTAATATTACGCCATTTTACCCCATTATGACATTCATATTGACGTTGATTATGTTTGATAAAATGGTTATCCCTATCCTTCATTATGGTTACAGGATACGGGGATTAAAAAATGTGAACATTTTTCAGAAACTTCAACTCAAATTTTGTAAACTTGTACTTCATCTTAAGACATCTACTCCAAATTATATGGTTTATGGTGAGCTTCGTTGATATCCATTGAGTGTAAATATTAAAATGTAAATGATAAAATTCTGGGTGAAACTGTTGAAATGTAGAGAGACAAAATTGTGTTATATTTTATATAAATTTGTTTACATGTACAGCTCATTAATGTACAACACTGTTTATTGTAGTGTTAAATATATTGAATGTATAGAAGTATTAAATACAAGAATGTGGTTTAAATTACGTTTGGATGACGCAAAATATGATGGTTATATTTAATTAAGCAATCACTGATTGATACATTTCTACAGAAATGGAATTCAAATTTTGATGGATCTAGTAGAGACAAAATTAATAATTTATTGACTAATAGTACTTTAACATCTAGAAACTATTTAAACACCAATGTGTCAATGCATACTATAATTATACTGGTAAGATTTAGAACAAGTAATCATAAATTACCAATCGAGACAAGCCGATGGAGCAACATATCTTCAAATCAGAGACTCTGTACTTTATGTAATAATGATACTGGAGGCAAATACCATTATTATGTCATGACCAGCTTTAAAATGATTGTAGAAAATTTTATTTACCATTATACATAGATAAGTTGATCAAGTGATTTTAAGTTTTAAAGTTCGTTTTTATGTAAAAAGGGATCCACGTCAATAACCTTAGTAAATTCATCAATATAGTTAATAAGAGAGTTATCCTTCCAGATATGTTAACTGTACACTATTGCATCATCGATCTATTTTGATTGATATTGTTGTATTTTTTCCTTGCTGCTTTACACAAGGTGAGAAATTGAATAAATTGAATTGAATCGAAGGTTACATAATGTGCCAATGATCACTTCGCAGGAAATCTTGGTGAATAGTCACGTTAAATAAAATCTCACGTGGAATCGCTCACCAAACTTGTAGCCAGACGATTTTCGCAGCGCCGACGTCGCTGTCAAGATATTAAGAAGAGTTATCGGTAGACTGATCGATCGTTCCAATCCAATGGAAGCCCTTTATGAGGCTGAGGTATTAGATAGATACCACTTATCAGAAAAAAAGTTTATCGTTGGTCTTCTTGAAAGAACAACTGCTTTATCAAAGCCAGCGAAACAACCCCCACGCACCTTGAACCAAGTTTTTGGTTGCTCTCGGTATTTTGCAAGGGGGTCTTTTTATATCACACTTGGAGGCACTTTGTCTGTGTCGAAGAATACGGCAGAGAGAGCGGTACGTCAGGTGTCAGACCTTCTATGCACACAGGTCTGTCTGAAATAGGTACGTGAATCCATTTACATTAAATGTGCATTCCACAAAATTGAAGGTTAAAAATGCACACAGAAGCATCTGCACATCTTGTTGTTTCCATTTGACCATCACCAAAGTCGTAAAAATGCAAAACTGAACCCGATTTCATAATAAATATGTTGGTTTTCTTATATACCTAAAACTTCCCATGTAGAATTTATATATCTATCTATCTATCTATCCACATGACATATACAAACAACTGTGGTCCATCATCATCTCTAACTTTTCTATGATCTTTACCTAGGAGCAATTTATTACATTATTTTCGTCGTGTTTCCTCCAGAATTTTTCACTCATATGGAGACGCCACCACTTGCCGGTGGAGGGCTACAATTTTGACTTAAACTCGGCACTCAGGGCCATTGAGCAGTGAGGGATCTTTTTCGTGCAAGCACCTACTGGGACACGGGACCTCGGTTTATACGGTCTCATCCGAAGGAACGGTCTCCACGTCCCGCAGTGGGATTCGAACCCGCGACGCAAGGGTCAACTCCTTACTCCGCGACTCTAGAGCAGACGCTCTAACCACTGCGCCACGCGGGCGACTATTTTCATCGTAATAAATAATTCTATAATGGTTTACTTTTCAAACATGAGAATAAAAAATCTTTTTACGCCCCAAACACACACGCACAAAAAATGGGTAGACATGTTCATATTTTTGATAGAAATTTTAATACTGTCGCAAGACGCTCAACTTTTGTTATATGTGTGGATGGGACCATGATAAAAATTGTTGCCAAACAGTTAAATGTATAATCACTGATTCAGAACCCTAGAACGCAGGGAGAGAAGAAGGCACCCTCAACTTTTTCTTAGTATATTGTCTTTGGGTGAAAATTTTCATTAAGATGCTGGGCTGGTGCTAGCCCCCCCCCCCCCTCCCCTCAACTTCTTGTTACTGCTAGGTCACGCACTGGCAAATTCCAGCATTTAAGAAATGTACCAAGTGAAAGGAACACCCCGTCTTGGTTGTCAAATCTTTACTTGTTTATATGGAGTTCGATCCCCCACATTTTTTTTAAAACCGTTGCTCATATTTTTTTTTTAAATATGACTAATAAAAACAGTGCAAGCCAACAAGAAAGTACATGCAACTATATTGGTTTGAAATATTTTTAACCATTACATTAGTTATAATTAACTTTTCAGATGACATGTGATCCACAATTTAAAGTCCTTGATGTTGTAGCAGAGTGGCCAGCGAGTGTCCTTAACGCTCAAATCTTTAGAGAATTGAGCTTGTGCAGAATAATGGAAGAAGGTATGTGAATACATGAACTTAATAAAGGTATAGAATGTTAAATGTATTTATACATGTTGATATGATTAACATATTCTTTAAAAAAAATCTTTTATGTATCAGATATTATAATTTCAGTTACTTCACAAATAAAAAAAAAAATACAATTTCAATATAATGTACAACAGTTCGTGAATAATTCAATAATGATGAAACCTCAATTCAATTTAGGACAGCTATCAGGGATTCTACTTGGGGATTCAGAATTCAGGATATGGGCTAAAACCATACCTTTTGGCCCCTTGCATGGCAGAGGATGCTCCTGGGAAGAGGCGATTCAATGTTTTTATATAACGACCCTACTCTATTTGTTAAAGCCATATATTGCTTAATTTTGATAAGTTAAAAAAAACAAAATTAAAAGGATCTTTCTATTTAGGTAGGGGTATATTTAAAAAAAAAAGATTACCGTCAGGACTGGGTTGCTCAAAACCTTGGTTAGCGCTAACCGCTGGTTAAATCTCTTATCCAGCGGTTAACTTTTAACCACTGGTTAAATTCTGTTGTTCAAAATTTATCCACTGGTTAACTTTGCAATTCAGTGGTTAAATATTGGCCAAAGTTAGCCATTCCACAGAGGTGGGTTAAGTCTCTAATCCAG